ACGCTTGGGGGTGCTGAGCCTGGGGGTGCGGTGTCTGGGGGTGCTGAGCCTGGGGGTGCTGAGCCTGGGGGTGCTGAGCCTGGGGGTGCTGAGCCTGGGGGTGCTGAGCCTGGGGGTGCGGTGTCTGGGGGTGCTGGACCTGGGGGTGCTGAGCCTGGGTCGTCTCGCCGAGAGCCACTCTCCCCGCTGGAGCTGCGTGAGTGGTTTGCCCGGCGCTGGAGGCGTGCTGCTGGTGCTGGAGGTTCTTCGGCTGCAGAGGGTGCTGCTGCCGAGCGTCCCGGAGGTGCTCGTACTGTGGGTGCTGGAGCTGCTGGGTCTGAGGAATCTCCTGGAGCTGGTGCTGCTGAGGGTGTTGGCGCTGAGACTGCCGCTGGCGGTCCTACTGGCGGTGCTACTGGAGGTTCTGGAGCTACTGGAGGTGCTGCTGGAGGTGCTGCTGGAGCGGGTTCCCCCCCTGGGGGTACTGGTGCTGTACCTGCTGTTTCTGGTGTCGCCGCGCGGCCTCGCCCGTACTTCGTTCCGCTCCTGCAGCAGGTTTTTGGTCTTACACCTTCTCCTTGTCCTCCTGCTCCTCCCTTAGAGGGTCCACAGCCTGTCTCGTCACAGTCACAGCTACAGCCTGCCTCCCCTTTGCCTGCTCCTTCTCCCTACGCTGGTCCTACTGGAGGTCTTACTGAGCGTCGTGAGCCTGCGTCTCGTCCTGCGTCGCCCGTTCGTGCTGCACGCCCGAGTGGTCGCGGTTCGCGTCAGCGTCCTCCTCTTGTCCCTGGCACGCACCAGATGTCTCTGCGTCCGTCCACTGCTCCCTTGCGTGCCCCTTTGCCTTCTCCTCCTGCGTCCTCTCTTCCTACTCTCGCTGACCCTGCGTCGGACTCTCTTCGTGCTGCCAGTCCTACTGTCACGCGTCTCCTCGCTACTGTCGTCACTGACCCTTCTTTCGAGTCGTCTGCTGCGTCTTCCCTTGTCACTGAGCTCGTTGACTTTGCTGCGCGCTGTCGTCTGGACTACGCTGCTAGTCTTGTCGCTGAGTCTGAGTCGGCCTGTCCTCCGTCCGTCGGGGGTGAGTGTGCCCTTGGCACGGACGTCCTTGAGGACAGACAGGAGGAGTTCCACTGTCTGGCTGCCGCTTCACCTCGTCTCGCGTCTGTACTGCTAGCCCCTGAGGGAGACCCGGATGCACTAGACATCCCGACTCCGCGCTCTTACGCGGAGGCGATAGAGGGTCCCTACTCCTCTCAGTGGCAGGCAGCTATGGATGCAGAGATGGCTTCCTGGAAGTCCACAGGCACCTACGTTGACGCTGTTCCCCCTCCTGGGGCGAACATCGTCAGTGGCATGTGGATCTTCAGGGTGAAGCGGCCGCCGGGTTCTCCGCCTGTCTTCAAGGCGCGTTACGTGGCTCGTGGCTTCAGTCAGCGGCAGGGGGTTGACTACTTTCAGACCTTCTCCCCCACCCCGAAGATGACCACTCTTCGGGTACTGTTGCACGTTGCTGCTCACCGTGACTACGAGCTGCACTCTCTCGACTTCAGCACTGCTTTCTTGCAGGGTAGCCTGCACGAGGAGATCTGGCTGCGTCGCCCACCTGGCTTCACTGGGTCTTTCCCTCCTGGTACCCAGTGGAGTCTCCGGCGTCCAGTCTACGGTCTCCGCCAGGCGCCACGTGAGTGGCACGACACACTGAGGACTACGCTGGCGGCACTTGGGGTTGCTCCGTCTACTGCCGACCCGTCGCTGTTTCTTCGCACCGACACCTCTCTGCCGCCGTTCTACATCCTCGTGTACGTCGACGACTTGGTCTTTGCCACAGCTGACACTGCTGGACTTGCCTACGTGAAGTCCGAGCTGCAGAAGAGACACACGTGCACTGACCTGGGTGAACTGCGCAGCTACCTTGGCTTGCAGATCACCCGGGACAGAGCACGCCGCACCATTACCCTGACTCAGTCACACATGGTGCAGCAGGTCCTTCAGCGCTTCGGCTTCACGTACTCCTCGCCTCAGGCCACTCCTCTGCCTACTCGCCACTCGCTCTCAGCTCTGCCTTTGGATGAGTCCGTAGAGTCGAGTGGCCCGTATGCAGAGCTTGTTGGCTGCCTCATGTACCTGATGACCTGCACACGACCTGACCTTGCATACCCTCTTAGCATTCTCGCACGCTATGTTGCTCCTGGGAGACACCGACCAGAGCACATGGCTGCAGCGAAGAGGGTGTTGCGCTACTTGTGCAGTACGTCGGGCATGGGGCTAGTGCTTGGAGGGCGCAGTCCAGTGGTCCTCACTGGGCACGCGGACGCTTCTTGGGCTGACGACCAGGCTACGCAGCGGTCGTCACAGGGTTACACCTTCAGCCTTGGTTCCGGCTCTGTCTCGTGGCGGGCTACCCGCTCGTCTTCTGTTCTCGGCTCCAGTTGTGAGGCTGAGATCTACGCCGGGGCCATGGCTGCACAGGAGCTTCGCTGGCTCACCTACCTGCTGACCGACCTTGGAGAGCCGCCTCGTTCTCCTCCAGTCCTGTACGTCGACAACAAGGCCATGCTGGCCTTGTGTCGTGAGCAGCGACTGGAGCACAGGACAAAGCACATTGCTCTTCGCTACTTTCTTGCTCGTGAGCTACAGCAGCGTGGACAGTTGCGACTTGCGTACGTGGCCTCTGAGGCCAACACTGCTGATGTCTTCACCAAGGCACTTGCGCCTTGTGATCATCAGCGTTGTTGCACGCAGCTGGGTCTTGTGCCTGTCTTACCTCACTTGCTCGCTTCTTGACCTTGCTTGTACCTTGACCTATATATACTCTTGTATATTTCTATATATGCTCTTGCATGTGAACTGGCCTTTTGGCCTTTTGAACTTGTGCTCGGAATGTGTGGTGACTTTGTGATCCACCCTGAGCTTTGCCTTGCTTTGCTTGACTGGTCTTGTGACCCTTTGTTCTCCCCCACTTTGCCTATGGGGGTGAGTCAGAATATTATAGCTTACTTAGTTGTGTAGGCTATAGTGGGGTATCCCATAGGGGGTACAACCCAACTAGGGTTTCCTATTTGTACTCACTTCATTCATAGTCATTTCATTCTCGTTCATATTTTCTCAAACCCGTCCCCATATAAGGGCGTTTGTGAGCCCGGGAAGCTGCGAAATCCGTACCGGTATAAAATGTGAAGCAATGTTATTCGAATCCTGGACCGCCCACCACGATCGTGTTTGCCACATTACTAGATACCTTGGGACGAGATTCCAGCTCTTTTTGCCTTCAAACGGGCCCGCCGCATAAAAAACCGTCCCCATATAAGGGCGCTTGTGAGCCCGGGAAGCTGCGAAATCCGTACCGGTATAAAATGTGACGCAATGTTACTCGGATCCTGGACCGCCCAGCACGATCGTGTTTGCCACAATCCTAGATACCTTGGGACGAGATTCCAGCTCTTTTTGCCTTCAAACGGGCCCGCCGCATGAAAACCCGTCCCCATATAAGGGCGTTTGTGAGCGCGGGAAGCTGCGAAATCCGTACCGGTATAAAATGTGCAGCAATGTTATTCGAATCCTGGACCGCCCACCACGATCGTGTTTGCTACATTACTAGATACCTTGGGACGAGATTCCGGCTCTTTTTGCCTTCAATCGGGCCCGCCGCATGAAAAACCGTCCCCATATAAGGGCGTTTGTGAGCCCAGGAAGCTGCAAAATCCGTACCGGTATAAAATGTGACGCAATGTTACTCGGATCCTGGACCGCCCAGCACGATCGTGTTTGCCACAATCCTAGATACCTTGGGACGAGATTCCAGCTCTTTTTGCCTTCAAACGGGCCCGCCGCATGAAAACCCTGTCAGAATATTATAGCTTACTTAGTCGTGTAGGCTATAGTGGGGTATCCCATAGGGGGTACAACCCAACTAGGGTTTCCTATTTGTACTCACTTCATTCATAGTCATTTCATTCTCGTTCATATTTTCTCATGGAATCAGAGCAGGTCCCTTCCTAGGGACTGTTCCTAGGGCCCACCGAAGCGCGCCCCGAGGCGCGCGTTTTTTTTTAGCGACCCCCCCGTGTCGCCCTTACCGCCGTGCTCCTGCTTAGGCCCCTCGTCGGCCCCGCTTAGGCCCCTCGTCGGCCCCGCTTAGGCCCCTCGTCGGCCCCGCTTAGGCCCCTAGTTGGCCCCACTTAGGCCTCGTCGGCCCCGCGTAGGCCCCGTCGGCCCCACTTAGGCCCCGCTACGGCCCCTCGTCGGCCCCACTTAGGCCCTGTCGGCCCCGCTTAGGCCTCGTCGGCCCCGCTTAGGCCCCGCTACGGCCCCGCGTCGGCCCCGCTTAGGCCCCGTCGGCCCGCCTAGGCCCCGCTACGGCCCCTCGTCGGCCCCGCCTAGACCCCGTCGGCCCACTGTAGGCCCCGCTCCAGCCCGCCGTCGGTTCCGCTATAGCCCGCCGTCGGCCCCGCTACAGCCCACCGTCGGCCCCCGCTACAGCCCGCCGTCGGCCCCACTACAGCCCGCCGCCGGCCCCGCTACAGCCCGCTGTCGGCCCCGCTACAGCCCGCCGCCGGCCCCGCTACAGCCCGCCGTCGGCCCCGCTACAGCCCGCCGTCGGCCCCGCTACAGCCCGCCGTCGGCCCGCCGTCGGCCCCGCTACAGCCTGCCGTCGGCCCTGCTACAGCCCCGCTACAGCCCCGCTACAGCCCGCCGCCGGCCCCGCTACAGCCCCGCTACGGCCCGCCGTCGGCCCAGCCGCCCGTACAGCCGCCCACCGTGCCGCCCGTGAGCAGCCCCAGCCGCCCGTGAGCCGCCCGTGCAGCCGCCCGCGCCGCCCGTGAGCCTCTGCGTCACCCGAGCCGCGCGAGCCGCCCGAGCCGCCCGAGCCGCCTGAGCAGCCCGAGCCGCCTGAGCCGCCCGAGCCGCCGGAGGAGTCGCACTCCTGCTCCTGTGGGACTACTGCTGCTCCTGGGCTGTGTTCCTGTGCTGCTGACCTACCCGACTCTTCCAGCCCGGTGAGACTATCAGCTGCTGTCATGGCCACCCCCAATGTTCTGACTTTTGACGCTGAGGGGAGGGCCATTGACTTTGCCGTCTGGATTGAAGACCTGCAGCTGTACTTACTGTGTGATGCGATCGATGAGGTCTCTCTCTTTGACTTTGTCTCTGGCGCTGTCCCTGCCCCTCCTGCTGATGCTGACTCTGCCGTTCGCTCCAAGTGGGCGACCCGCGATGCTGCTGCACGTCTTGCTGTGCGTCGCCACCTCCCTTCCTCCGAGCGTGCCCACTTAAGTCAGTGCAAGACCGCTCAGGCCTTGTACGACGCTGTAGTTGCACGCTACTCCTCCCCTTCCTCCGCTACACTTAGCCGCCTCATGCTACCGTTTCTCTTCCCTGACCTCGCTTCCTTTCCCACTGTCGCTGACCTCGTTACCCACCTCCGCGCTAGTGACACGCGCTACCGAGCTGCGCTTCCTGCTGAGTTCCGCGCCGCAAACCCTCCTCCCATGTACATCACTCTCTACTTTCTCGTCACCCATCTCCCTGAGTCCCTTCGTGTCGTTAGGGACCAGTTTCTCTCTGTCTGTCCCACCACCCTTACTGTCGACCTCCTTGAGGAGTCCCTGCTAGCGGCTGAGAAGAGCATCGTCGCAGTAGGGGCCTCTCGGGGTGACCCTCGCACCCCCATCTTTGAGGGGTGTTCTCCTTCCCCCCTACTGCCCTCTGTCGCCTCTGCCGCTGCGGCCGACCTCGCTGGTTTTGAGTCGGTCGGTGCGGCGTCTGCCCCCAGTGGTAGACGCCGCGCTGGCAAGGGCAAGGGGGGCAAGGGAGCGGGTGGAGCTAGAGGGGGCAGTGGTGGAGGAGGTGGGGGTGGCGGGGGGAGTGGGGGTGGCGGTGGAGGTGGTGGCGGGAGTGGAGGTACTGGTGGCGGAGGCGGAGGCGGAGGTGGCGGCGGAGGCGGTAGCGGAGGAGGCGGTGGGAGCGGCGGGGGCGAGGGTGCCGGTGGGGGCGATGGCGGTGGAGACGGGAGTGGCAGTGGAGGCGGGGGTGGCGGTGGTGGCGGGGGTCGGAGTGGCTCGTCCCAGCGGAGCAGCTCTGGAGGTGGTCAGCGCCAGCAGCAGCAGCAGCAGCAACCGCAGCAGCAGCAGCAGCAGCCACAGCAGCAGCAGCGCTCTCGCGCCGTCCCCGCCCCTCAGCAGCTCCGTGAGTGGTACTTGCAGCGTCAGCGTGGTGGTGCGTTTGGTCCCTGCCCCTACGTTCTTCGCACCGGCGACCGTGCGGGGGAGAGGTGTGGAGGCACCCACACAGCCCGCCGCTGCTTTGGCCGCCTGACCGACGCCTGGCGTCAGCAGTTTCCGGATGCCGCTGAGATCCCCCGCTGGGGAGAGCTGTCTAGGGCTGGTGTAGCTATTTATGATCTTGACTTTGATGCTATTCTTTCTGCTATGTATGCTGTGACTGGTAGTGATGAGGATAACTGTTACCTGTGTTTCCCGCCCGACCCGGGCATTGATACTGCTGCTCTAGGTGCCGGTGAGGCTGCTGCTCTAGGTGCCAGTGCGTCTGAGCCCTCAGGTACTGGTGAGTCTGAGCTCTCAGGTACTGTGTCGGCTTTGGCCTCTCACACCTTCACCCTCGACTCTGGGGCCTCTCGCTCCTTCTTTCGGGACCGCACCACTCTCACGCCGCTGAGTCGGCCGGTTGCGGTGTCCCTGGCTGACCCCTCTAGGGGACCAGTCCTGTCTCGCTTCTCCACTGTCCTTCCGTGCCCGGCGGCCCCCTCTGGCACCCTGTCTGGTCTCTACCTCCCCTCGTTCTCGACGAACCTGGTGAGTGGTGCTGACCTACAGGATGCGGGTGTCCACCAGTTCACTCCTGCTCGTCAGCGGGTGACACACTGCACAGAGGCTCGCACAGGTCGCCACCTGGCTACGTTTACACGTCGGCCAGGGTTGAGCCTGTACACACTGACCACTGCTTCTCCTCCAGGTGCTGAGTCTGGTAGGGTCCTTTCGTTTGGTCAGGTGTTTGCTGCAGCGTCCCGGTCTGGTCCTGAGTCTGCCCCCTGTTCGTGTCGTCGTCTCTCTCACGAGACCCTCCTCTGGCACCACCGCCTTGGCCACCCCTCTCTGCTTTGGCTCAGAGGTATGGCCTCCCGTCTTCTTGTGTCTGGCCTTCCCCGGTCCCTCCCTCCCCTTCCTCAGGGCCCTGGCCCTGCCTGTGTCCCCTGTGTTGAGGGGCGCCAGCGTGCTGCCCCTCACGCCTCCCAGTTTCCTCCGACGGAGGCCCCGTTGCAGACGCTTCACATGGACGTGTGGGGCCCAGCCCGCGTCCGTGGACAGGGTCAGGAGCGCTACTTCCTGCTAGTTGTTGACGACTACTCGCGTTACACCACGGTCTTCCCCTTGCGCAGCAAGGGTGAGGTCTCTGCGGTGCTGATCGACTGGATCCGCGCAGCTCGTCTCCAGCTTCGGAAGAGCTTTGGCGCTGACTTCCCTGTTTTGCGTCTGCACTCGGACAGAGGCGGAGAGTTCTCCTCTGGTCTTCTGAGTGCCTACTGTCGTGCACGAGGCATCCGTCAGTCCTTCACGCTTCCGGACTCACCACAGCAGAATGGGATTGCAGAGCGCCGCATTGGCATGGTCATGGACGTCGCTCGTACGTCTATGATGCATGCGGCAGCTCCCCATTTTCTGTGGCCGTTTGCGGTCAGGTACGCTGCGCACCAGATCAACCTTCACCCCAAGGTCTCCCGACCGGAGACCTCCCCAGCCCTGCTGTGGACGGGGAAGGTTGGCGATGCGTCGGCGTTCCAGGTCTGGGGATCTCGGGCGTTTGTTCGCGACTTGTCTGCGGACAAGCTGTCCCCTTGTGCTGCTCCCTGCGTCTTCCTGGGGTTCCCCCCCGACGCCCCTGGGTGGCAGTTCTACCACCCCACCTCTCGCCGTGTTCTGTCCTCCCAGGACGTCACGTTCGACGAGTCGGTACCCTACTACCGCCTCTTCCCCTACCGCACTCCGTCCCTTCCCCCGCCCCCGCTCTTCTTGGTACCAGGTCCCCCCCCGGTAGACCCCCTCCCCCCTCAGGGTCCTGCCCCTTCAGGTGTGTCCCAGGTAGACGCGGTCGAGCCTGTTGAGGTCACTGGTGACTCTGGTGCTGCTGCGGGAGCTGAGCCTGAGGGTGCTGGGACTAGGGGCGCTACGCTTGGGGGTGCTGAGCCTGGGGGTGCGGTGTCTGGGGGTGCTGAGCCTGGGGGTGCTGAGCCTGGGGGTGCTGAGCCTGGGGGTGCTGAGCCTGGGGGTGCGGTGTCTGGGGGTGCTGGACCTGGGGGTGCTGAGCCTGGGTCGTCTCGCCGAGAGCCACTCTCCCCGCTGGAGCTGCGTGAGTGGTTTGCCCGGCGCTGGAGGCGTGCTGCTGGTGCTGGAGGTTCTTCGGCTGCAGAGGGTGCTGCTGCCGAGCGTCCCGGAGGTGCTCGTACTGTGGGTGCTGGAGCTGCTGGGTCTGAGGGTTCTCCAGGAGCTGGTGCTGCTGAGGGTGTTGGCGCTGAGACTGCCGCTGGCGGTCCTACTGGCGGTGCTACTGGAGGTTTTGGAGCTACTGGAGGTGCTGCTAGAGGTGCTGCTGGAGCGGGTTCCCCCCCTGGGGGTACTGGTGCTGTACCTGCTATTTCTGGTGTCGCCGCGCGGCCTCGCCCGTACTTCGTTCCGCTCCTGCAGCAGGTTCTTGGTCTTACACCTTCTCCTTGTCCTCCTCCTCCTCCCTTAGAGGGTCCACAGCCTGTCTCGTCACAGTCACAGCTACAGCCTGCCTCCCCTTTGCCTGCTCCTTCTCCCTACGCTGGTCCTACCGGAGGTCTTACTGAGCGTCGTGAGCCTGCGTCTCGTCCTGCGTCGCCCGTTCGTGCTGCACGCCCGAGTGGTCGCGGTTCGCGTCAGCGTCCTCCTCCTGTCCCTGGCACGCACCAGATGTCTCTGCGTCCGTCCACTGCTCCCTTGCGTGCCCCTTTGCCTTCTCCTCCTGCGTCCTCTCTTCCTACTCTCGCTGACCCTGCGTCGGACTCTCTTCGTGCTGCCAGTCCTACTGTCACGCGTCTCCTCGCTACTGTCGTCACTGACCCTTCTTTCGAGTCGTCTGCTGCGTCTTCCCTTGTCACTGAGCTCGTTGACTTTTCTGCGCGCTGTCGTCTGGACTACGCTGTTAGTCTTGTTGCTGAGTCTGAGTCGGCCTGTCCTCCGTCCGTCGGGGGTGAGTGTGCCCTTGGCACGGACGTCCTTGAGGACAGACAGGAGGAGTTCCACTGTCTGGCTGCCGCTTCACCTCATCTTGCGTCTGTACTGCTAGCCCCTGAGGGAGACCCGGATGCACTAGACATCCCGACTCCGCGCTCTTACGCGGAGGCGATAGAGGGTCCCTACTCCTCTCAGTGGCAGGCAGCTATGGATGCAGAGATGGCTTCCTGGAAGTCCACAGGCACCTATGTTGACGCTGTTCCCCCTCCTGGGGCGAACATCGTCAGTGGCATGTGGATCTTCAGGGTGAAGCGGCCGCCGGGTTCTCCGCCTGTCTTCAAGGCGCGTTACGTGGCTCGTGGCTTTAGTCAGCGGCAAGGGGTTGACTACTTTCAGACCTTCTCCCCCACCCCGAAGATGACCACTCTTCGGGTACTGTTGCACGTTGCTGCTCACCGTGACTACGAGCTGCACTCTCTCGACTTCAGCACTGCTTTCTTGCAGGGTAGCCTGCACGAGGAGATCTGGCTGCGTCGCCCACCTGGCTTCACTGGGTCTTTCCCTCCTGGTACCCAGTGGAGTCTCCGGCGTCCAGTCTACGGTCTCCGCCAGGCGCCACGTGAGTGGCACGACACACTGAGGACTACGCTGGCGGCACTTGGGGTTGCTCCGTCTACTGCCGACCCGTCGCTGTTTCTTCGCACCGACACCTCTCTGCCGCCGTTCTACATCCTCGTGTACGTCGACGACTTGGTCTTTGCCACAGCTGACACTGCTGGACTTGCCTACGTGAAGTCCGAGCTGCAGAAGAGACACACGTGCACTGACCTGGGTGAACTGCGCAGCTACCTTGGCTTGCAGATCACCCGGGACAGAGCACACCGCACCATTACCCTGACTCAGTCACACATGGTGCAGCAGGTCCTTCAGCGCTTCGGCTTCACGTACTCCTCGCCTCAGGCCACTCCTCTGCCTACTCGCCACTCGCTCTCAGCTCTGCCTTTGGATGAGTCCGTAGAGTCGAGTGGCCCGTATGCAGAGCTTGTTGGCTGCCTCATGTACCTGATGACCTGCACACGACCTGACCTTGCATACCCTCTTAGCATTCTCGCACGCTATGTTGCTCCTGGGAGACACCGACCAGAGCACATGGCTGCAGCGAAGAGGGTGTTGCGCTACTTGTGCAGTACGTCGGGCATGGGGCTAGTGCTTGGAGGGCGCAGTCCAGTGGTCCTCACTGGGCACGCGGACGCTTCTTGGGCTGACGACCAGGCTACGCAGCGGTCGTCACAGGGTTACACCTTCAGCCTTGGTTCCGGCTCTGTCTCGTGGCGGGCTACCCGCTCGTCTTCTGTTCTCGGCTCCAGTTGTGAGGCTGAGATCTACGCCGGGGCCATGGCTGCACAGGAGCTTCGCTGGCTCACCTACCTGCTGACCGACCTTGGAGAGCCGCCTCGTTCTCCTCCAGTCCTGTACGTCGACAACAAGGCCATGCTGGCCTTGTGTCGTGAGCAGCGACTGGAGCACAGGACAAAGCACATTGCTCTTCGCTACTTTCTTGCTCGTGAGCTACAGCAGCGTGGACAGTTGCGACTTGCGTACGTGGCCTCTGAGGCCAACACTGCTGATGTCTTCACCAAGGCACTTGCGCCTTGTGATCATCAGCGTTGTTGCACGCAGCTGGGTCTTGTGCCTGTCTTACCTCACTTGCTCGCTTCTTGACCTTGCTTGTACCTTGACCTATATATACTCTTGTATATTTCTATATATGCTCTTGCGTGTGAACTGGCCTTTTGGCCTTTTGAACTTGTGCTCGGAATGTGTGGTGACTTTGTGATCCACCCTGAGCTTTGCCTTGCTTTGCTTGACTGGTCTTGTGACCCCTTGTTCTCCCCCACTTTGCCTATGGGGGTGTGTCAGAATATTATAGCTTACTTAGTTGTGTAGGCTATAGTGGGGTATCCCATAGGGGGTACAACCCAACTAGGGTTTCCTATTTGTACTCACTTCATTCATAGTCATTTCATTCTCGTTCATAATTTCTCAAACCCGTCCCCATATAAGGGCGTTTGTGAGCCCGGGAAGCTGCGAAATCCGTACCGGTATAAAATGTGAAGCAATGTTATTCGAATCCTTGACCGCCCACCACGATCTTGTTTGCCACATTACTAGATACCTTGGGACGAGATTCCAGCTCTTTTTGCCTTCAAACGGGCCCGCCGCATGAAAAACCGTCCCCATATAAGGGCGCTTGTGAGCCCGGGAAGCTGCGAAATCCGTACTGGTATAAAATGTGACGCAATGTTACTCGGATCCTGGACCGCCCAGCACGATCGTGTTTGCCACAATCCTAGATACCTTGGGACGAGATTCCAGCTCTTTTTGCCTTCAAACGGGCCCGCCGCATGAAAACCCGTCCCCATATAAGGGCGTTTGTGAGCGCGGGAAGCTGCGAAATCCGTACCGGTATAAAATGTGAAGCAATGTTATTCGAATCCTGGACCGCCCACCACGATCGTGTTTGCTACATTACTAGATACTTTGGGACGAGATTCCGGCTCTTTTTGCCTTCAATCGGGCCCGCCGCATGAAAAACCGTCCCCATATAAGGGCGTTTGTGAGCCCAGGAAGCTGCAAAATCCGTACCGGTATAAAATGTGACGCAATGTTACTCGGATCCTGGACCGCCCAGCACGATCGTGTTTGCCACAATCCTAGATAACTTGGGACGAGATTCCAGCTCTTTTTGCCTTTAAACAGGCCGGCCGCATGAAAACCCGTCCCCATATAAGGGCGTTTGTGAGCCTGGGAAGCTGCGAAATCCGTACTGGTATAAAATATAAAGCAATGTTATTCGAATCCTGGACCGCCCACCACGATCGTGTTTGACACAATCCTATATACCTTGGGACGAGATTCCAGCTCTTTTTGCCTTCAAACGGGCCCGCCGCATGAAAACCCGTCCCCATATAAGGGCGTTTGTGAGCCCGGGAAGCCGAGAAATCCGTACCGGTATAAAATGTGAAGCAATGTTATTCGAATCCTGGACCGCCCACCACGATCGTGTTTGACACAATCCTATATACCTTGGGACGAGATTCCAGCTCTTTTTGCCTTCAAACGGGCCCGCCGCATGAAAAACCGTCCCCATATAAGGGCGCTTGTGAGCCCGGGAAGCTGCGAAATCCGTACCGGTATAAAATGTGAAGCAATGTTACTCGGATCCTGGACTGCCCAGAAGGATCGTGTTTGCCACAATCTTAGATACCCTGGGACGAGATTCCAGCTCTTTTTGCCTTCAAACGGGCCCGCCGCATGAAGAACCGTCCCCCTATAAGGGCGTTTGTGAGCCCGGGAAGCTACGAAATCCATACCGGTAAAAAATGTGTAGCAATGTTATTCGAATCCTGGACCGCCCAGCACGATCGTGTTTGCCACAATCCGAGATACCTTGGGACGAGATTCCAGCTCTTTTTGCCTTCAAACGGGCCCGCCGCATGAAAAACCGTCCCCATATAAGGGCGTTTGTGAGCCCGGGAAGCTGCGAAATCCGTACCGGTATAAAATGTGACGCAATGTTATTCGAATCCTGGACCGCCCAGCACAATCGTGTTTGCCACAATCCTAGATACCGTGGGACGAGATTCCAGTTAATTTTGCCTTCAAACGGGCCCGCCGCATGAAAACCCGTCCCCATATAAGGGCGTTTGTGAGCCCGGGAAGCTGCGAAATCCGTACTGGTATAAAATGTGAAGCATTGTTATTCGAATCCTTGACCGCCCACCACGATCGTGTTTGCCACAACCCTAGATACCTTGGGACGAGATTCCAGCTATTTTTGCCTTCAAACGAGCCCGCCGCATGAAAACCCGTCCCCATATAAGGGCG